TGTGTGTGTGTGTGTGTGTGTGTGTGTGTGTGTGTGTGTGTGTGTGTTCCTCAAATATCCTTTCTATTCTGAATAGTCTTGTGATTTGATGAGGGGAGGAGATGTCGTTTGTGTGTGTGTGTGTGTGTGTGTGTGTGCGCGCGCGCGCTACTACTAAGTTTTGAACTCAGGGCCTTGAAATTTTTTGCTCCTGGATGGCCCTCAAATTGTGATCTTTCTGATCTCAGCCCTCAGTACAGCTAGAGTTATGGGCATGAGTAATTAAAAATGTCATTTTGTGGAAGTAGCACTATGGCTCAAAGTAGAAGAGAACTAGCCTTGAGCAAAAGAGTTTAGGGAAGCTAGGCATTGGTGGCTCATATCTGTAATCCTAGCTACTCAGGAGGCTGAGATCTGAGGACAGTGGCTCCAAGCTGGCCCAGGCAGGAAAATCTGAGAGACTCTTATCTCCAGTTAACCACCAGAAAACTGGAAGTGGAGCTGTGGCTCAAGTGGTAGAGGGCTAGCCTTCAGTGGAAGAGCTCAGGGACAGCACCCAGGCCCAGAGTTCAAGCCCACAGAAAAAGAAAAGAAAAAGAGTTCAGGCCCCACAACTGACAGGAAAAAAAAGAAGAAGAAAAAGAAAAACATCCTAATATATAATTATAGGGAAAGTAATAGGAAAATATTGTGAATATTAATTTTAATTAAATAATTCTAGCTTTCTTACTAGCATTCTCTTGACCATAAGAAGATTGATTATACTTATATACATACTATTTTTTACATACTTGATTTTTATCTACGATGTTATTTTCAGAACTACATTTGGGTAAAACCAGAAAAATCAGGCCTTTGCAGGTATGGTTTCATTTATGTGTGTGTGTGTGTGTGTGTGTGTGTGTGTGTGTATCCAGGTATGGTTTCATTTATATATATATATGTATGTATGTATGTATGTAGATAGATAGATAGATATGTATCCAAAACTTACACTTTTCAATCGAAAGTGAGGGCTTCTCCAGTTCTATTTCCTGTTGATTCTCCTAGTTCCTGATACCTGCTCATAAGATACTTTTCTGTTCATCATTCCCCAGCAGAAAGTGACAAAAAAGTCTCTGTGTCAGGTACAGGTAATGTATTTGATGGGACAAATGACTTCAAGAAGGCTGAGGAGTTCAAACATAATTTCATATTCTTCCAATTTATTTTAAGCAGAACATATGACCTTACAGGAGACTAGCTTTGTTTTGTATATTCTATATTATTTATACACAGGAAATATTTCCCTCACTGCCAGCTCTGACTTAAGGAATATCAGGAATGTAGATGAAAGGAAACAGTAAACCACTCTTCCTCTCTGGTCACAGTAACCAATACAATATAATTATATGTTCCCCTGAAAAAAAATCCTGTAATTCGATCTAAGAAACTTTAAAGGTAAAATTCATACCATAGCAGTCACAAAATATTAAGAATTTATTATGACAAGCTAACTATGTGTGTTGAGTGGGGAAGAATAATGAAAGTCAAGAAGATTTAGATTATTTCATTTCTTTCCAAGTCTCCCCTCATCCTCCCCCCACCCCCCTCAGTCCTGGGGCTTGAACTCAGAGCCTGGGCACTCTTCCTAAATTTCTTTTGCTCAAGGCTAGCACTCTACCACTGGAGCCACAGCACCACCTCCAGCTTTTTCTGTTTATATGGTACAGAGAAATCAAACCCAGGGCTTCATGCATGCTAGGCAAGCACTCTACCACTAAGCCACCTTCCCAGCCCTTTCTCTACCTTCTCTAAACCCTGTCTATCCTTTCTCAGGTATATCTCACCTGCAAAGCCAATCTGTGCTTACCTCCCATGAATGACCAATTACTCCTTGTCTCAGCTGCATCAGGTCATATCAGCTCAAGAATCTATAGTTGGGAGGCAGGAGTAGGCTTCTAACTTCCATGTGCTCCCATGTCACATGATCCAGCAAGTGTTAGGCAGCGAAGTGAGAAATTCATGTGCTCATCCAAAATCTTATTCAGTGACTACTGTGTTCTGATGACTATGGACTGAAGGTTAATAAAGTATGAGCTTTGCTCAAGCAGCAACTATCCAGTCTACAGGAAACCATTATGCCCTGTGCTCAGTATCCCTCCCACCTTCACGGGATCTTGCTGTATTGATCTCAATAATTTTTACTGTCTGTCTGTCTGACTGACTGACTCAGGCCATTCTCCTCATTACAAGCACATGCTTTAACATTTCCCATTCTTAAAACCAACAAGAATCCCTGTGGTCTCTCCGAGCCCCCTAGTCACCTTTCATTTACCAATGGACACATAGCAGAAACTTAGTAAATACTCGTTGAATGTGTAAACACAAAAACAAATCATGATAATGCAAAGCAATGTGTGCCAGGACAAGAAGTGGTCAGAGGGCTCTACGGGCACATGAACCACAAGATTTTTCACAGACAAGAGGATACCTGAGCTGTGTCTTGGATAAAGGGTTTGTCATGATTTGGAGCTCATATATAGGTGTTAAAAATAGAAAAGATTAATTGTGCTGTTCAATAAGTCTTCTGTGTCTTACAACTTAAATTTTATCAGGAAGCCTAGCTATTATTCAACTGATGCAAGAAATAGATACTACTTCAACAAAAGAAAGATAATGGGTGACAGTATAAAGTATCAGTCTCATGGAGAAGAACTAGAGTTAGAGAGACTCGTCAGAAAATTGTTGCCCTAGAGAAAGTGAAACTCTGAACTACAGCAGTGAAAGTGATAAGCAAGATAAAATGCCAGACCAAGTGATATAAAGATAATAGGAAAAGAGCATAGCAGCCAATCAAATGTGAGTAATGACTAAGAGATCGATATGAATCAGTTCTTATCTCATGAGACTATGTGAAGAGCAAAGCCATTCCCTCAGAAAGACTATAAAACATAAGTAGATTTTGAGAGGAGTTCAGTTTGGGACCTACTGATGATGAGCTGTTTAGGGACATCCTTGCAAAGATGCCCAACAAGTAGACCAAAGGTAGAAGTGGAGATCTGTGGAATTGAGCAACCAAACACATATGGAGCAACTGCTTCTCAAGAAATGGAGACAATTATTTAATACTTGTTTCATATTAGTTACCTGAATTTTTTACACAAAGTTGCATGGAAACTGGATGACTGGGAACACTATCATAGTAAATGTTCTCTCAGAAGAAAAAATATTATGTGTATCAAAACAAAAATAATACAAACTGGCACTCCTTCCTCCCCACGTTCCTAAACCATTAAACACATAAATCTTCCTTTTAAAGAAAATAAAGTTGGGCAGAGTAGAGCAGGCCTATAATCTCAGCATTTGGGGAAGCTCAGGCAAGATTTTGGGTTTGAGGCTACCATGGATTACAGAGAAATACTCATCCATTACAGAGAAAGAGTAATTCATTATAAAGATTCTGTCTCAGAAAGAAAGATAATGCTCTAAAGTGTCCTTAAAGTTCAGATATAAGACCTTACTAAATAAGGCTGTGCTTAAGGATTTTCTTATTTTCACCAGTGTTCATTTGGAATGAAAGGAGGACATGTGACTGGAGACAGTCACGTGACTAGAAAATAGTTTCACAGGAAGTGAGTTGTAGTTACTTGAACTGACCGTTATCTAGATAGACCTCTACTGACTTTAAGGACGATGTGGAAACCTTTCCTAAGGAAGATTTACTTCTGTGTATTCCCCATTGCCAACACTGATTAATCCTCTACCCCCACAGGCCTGCAAGGCACCTCCTAGCACACATGTGTGTGACTAGAGATCAGTAAGACCAGAAATTCTAGCCAGGCAGGAGCCGAGGACTGGCCTGGCTCACCCCTTCCACCTACTAACATGAGGCCAGGCACACTCCACTCCCACAAAACCTAGCCACGCTGGCACTCAGACTCATGCTTCAGAAAGGAGGAACCCCCAGAAATTTCATGCAAGGCCAGCCTCTCCCTTCTGTTATGCTCACTTCTTTGGAGGGGAGAAAACAGACAACACAGTGGAGAGCTCTGAACAGAACCAAGCAGGTCTCCTGAAGATAGAGGTTGAAAGGGAGTTCTGAACTCTGAGTCCCCTTCCATTACCCCAATGGTTTGAAAGACACTTTACAGGGAAATGTACCATAACTATAAACAGCTCCCAAAAGTCCCCTCCCACCACTCTCCAACTGTAAACTCTATTATTCAAGACTTGAAACAATTAACAAAAAAGTAGTGCTAATAAAGAGCATGTATCAACAAAAATTACCAATGTCTACTAGGCATTTGTGGCTCATGCCTATAATCCTAGCTACTCAGGAGGGTGAGATCTGAGTATCTCAGTTCAAAGCCAGACCAGGCAGAAAAGTCCATGAGATTCTTATCATCAATTATCCAGCAAAAAGCCAGGAGTAGAAGTATGAGTCAAGTGGTAGAACATCAGCCTTGAGCAGGAAAAGAAAGCATGAGGCCCCAAGTATGAGATCCTAAATTCAAGGTCCAGTCTCTCTCTCCTCTCTAGTATCCCTAATGTGTATTTCAGAAAACTAAGAGGAAATTCAAAGTACCTACTTTTTTTAGTTAGTTTTATTACTATACTCTCACTGAAAAGCTAAAAAAAAATAGAAACCAACAAGAAAAAGGAAGAACAACTCTAGCCTATTAAGTTAATATACTTGATGCCTTAATATAAATATTCAGTCCCTGGCATTCTGCTAATTGCTCAGAGTAGAATCATATTAGGGTAAATCCAGAGTTACATTAGAAAGCTTTGTGTTTTAGTTTTATGAGTACAAGTTAAAGGACTGCCAAATCCTTCATCAATTTTTTTTAATAAGGCGCAGTCCTAACAGAAAACCTCAGAGATAAAGTCCAAGGACTTGAATGCTTTTTAATGTCAAAGAGAAGAAGAAGTCTGAGAGGGGAACTAGGTGAAGGAGGAAGAGGAAGGTATGTGTGCATTTAGCATTTTGAGGAAGAACAAGACCTTTGCTCTCCTAAGCCTTCCCCCAGAAAACTCACACTGGAGAGAGGCCAGGAAAGATCTTCCGCAGGCACGTGCCAATGTGTGCCAGCACATCACTCACGTCTTCTGGAGATGCCATCTTCATGGAAATGTTGCATTTCTCAGTTTCCACAACCATCTGCAACAACAGGGTGGGATACTTCTTAATAAGAAGTCCAATCTCTTCCTTTCGGAATGTTAAACATGGTAAATGATGCAGTCACACAGAAATACACTATTACAATAGCAACTTTTCAACAAGCACTTCCTTGGGTCTGGGTGTGGTGGCACAGGCCTACATTCCAGCACTCAAGCAAGAGGATCTTGAGTTTGAGCCCAGCCCAAACTATAAAGCAAGATCTTGACTCAAAAATACAAATGTTATTTTTTAAAAAGGAAGTAGATGCCCAGTGCCAGTACCCAGCTACTTAGAAGACTGAGATCAAGAGGGTTATGATTCTGCCCAACCCAGGCAAAAAAAAAAAATCTGAGACTCCAATGTCCAAAAAAAAAATCTGAGACTCCAATGTCCAAAATAACCAGGAAAAGGCTGGGCTGGAGTCATGGCTGCATCATGAATCATTAGCTGTGCATGCAAGCCAAGTAAGCATGTTGGGATTATAGGTGTCAGCCACTATATCTGGCTTAATTTTTCCTTATTTTTGAGACTATCTATGTGACCTCATTCTCAGCAGTTTTTGGTCTGAGTTAGTCTTTGCCTAGCATTGAACCTGATGTGACAGCTTGTTACTCTGCTATTTTAATATATTCCTTTCTACATATCTCCTCTTCTTAGGAAGGTTGAAGTTTTCATAAACCCTTGATTTTTCCTTTGCTCCCAGGCAAAATAATAATAACTTACATTTAAACATTTTACACCATTTTTTAGCTTTGAAAAATGTGGATCCTTTTTTTTAAATGAAAGTAACATATTGCCCAAAGGTATTCACAGGAAGACATAGGCATACACTAGAGAGCAGGAATATGAGAGATTTTGTTGAGATTGCTTCTCAGGAAAAAGCCTTGGTGAAAATAATATGTGAGGAGGAGGTCAATTTGAATCTACCAGTTTGGCCTTTAGAAACATCTGCTTCAGTTTTCAGATGTTTCTGATACGCTCCTACTCTCTACCTATGTATAAGAATCTTCAGAGAGCTGTAAACTAACAGGCACTTTAAGGAAATGCTTCTACTTTGGGGAGGGTGGGAGAAAAAGCAGAAGTGAGATTTGATTCCGTGAGTTCATGAAACCCTCATATCAACTCATCTTTTTAGCTAGGCACAGCAGTGCACACAAATCATTCGAGCTACATGAAAACTGTAAATAGAAGGATTATGGTCCAGGACTACCCAGTATAATTGAGACCTATTAAAAAAAATAATTAAAGCAAAAAGAGCTGGAGGCATGGCTCATATGGTAGAGCATCCACCAAAGCAAACACAAAGCCCTGAGTTCAACACCCAAGGCTCCACCAAAATGTAAATCAACCTGAAAAGGAGAGTAGGTCACAAAAGGGACAGGTTGATGATGGACACATTTTCATTTTGTAAAAAATCCATGTGAATTGCTGTTTTCAAAAACAGATGGCATTATCTTGATTCTAAAAGTATGCTAATTATGCAAATGCAGTCATCTTGGATTATGACTCCAACAAAATATTCTCACACATTTCAATCTTGTTTTTACTTAACACAAAAACACTATGAGGGAACAATATATGTACAATTAAGCAATTCCATGAACAGTATATATACAATTAAGCAGTTCCATGAATAAATCACCTTTTACAGTCTGCTTTAGATCTTCCTAAACTGAGCCAAACTAAAGCTATCTCTGAACCTATTTATGTTAAAAAGAGAGAGTAATGCAAGGTATTCGTCACAAGGATGAGACCAAAGTATAAGGTCCTACCAATGTTACTTTGTCATAGGAAGCCCTAGAGGAATTTGCCAACATGTATTTCATAAATATTGCCTCTGCATCAGTTAGCAGTGCCAAAGAAAGAGAGGGGAGAGGAGTATTATATTCTCATTTTTAACATTCTATAAGACATTAGTGTAAAAGCCTTTAAAATTCTCTAGGCAAAGTCTGCATTTGTCTTCTATAGGGTAAACTACGGGATTCATAAAACTCTACTCCCTGAAAAAAAACAGCAAGCATTATTGTACATGAGGGTTTATACCTGGAGGTGTTTACTAACCAACCCCATTTCCTCCCTGAGGGTTCTTAAGTCAGATCACAGCTGCTCAGAGCAGTCAGGCTCATATGTTCATACGCACATATATGTGCACATGCATGAGTTTATGTTGTTGTGCACTTTTGTTTTTGTATTGGTCCTGGGCCTTGAATCAAGGCCTAAAAGCTGTCCTGCTAAGCTTTGTTTTTGTTGTTGTTGTTATTTGTTTGTTTTTTGCTTAAGGTTAGTATTTCTATCACTTGAGCCACAGTTCCACTGCTGGCTTTTCCTGGTTAATTGGAGATAAGAGTCTACTGGACTCTTCTGCTGAGCTTGGTTTGAATCTCAATCCTCAGATCTCAGCCTCCTAAGTAGATGGGATTACAGGTGTGAGCTACCACTGGTACCTGGCAACATGCATGTTTATAAGAGCCAGATAAACAGATCATCAAGTCTGTGCTTGACACCTCCACCTCCTATCTTCCCTCCCTGGGTAATTATATTTTCACCACAGGGTACTTCTCTATTTTTCACATCCAGTGTACATCTATTCAGTTCATAGTTCGTGTGCAGGGAATTAGTAATTAGCTTATTCTAATTCTGCTTAAAATCTTAACACATAATCATCCCTAATTGCACAGGATTGAGTGGAATGACAGGGAAGAGAAAAGGTGACAGGTTGGGGAAGAAATGAGGCCTTTGAATTCAACATTATGTGAGAGCAGTCACAAAAGCCCTGGCTAAGATGTCACCACCTTTGCATAATGTAAAGAGCTCAACAAAGCCACAGAGGTGGAATCCACATGATACATCATCTGGAGGGGGGGGGGGGTGGAGGAGAAGCAGGAGGAGGAGGAGGACTCTTAGTCAAATACCATTTTCCCTTCTTTCTCTGATGGGAAGAAACAAAAGTGTCTGAAACACTCCTTAATTTTATCTGGAAGTATATGTAGGTTGCAGTATGCTTGATCTCCAGTACCACAAAAAATAAACACAATCTAAATTAGAATGATAACCAGATATAAGGCATAGTATCTTGTTAATGATTCAAACTTCCAATTCCATTCCACCTTTTTTAAGCTAGAAAACCTGACTAAATTTAACAGGCAGCATTTTTTAAAGCCAATCCCCAGTCCAATCTATGAGGTTTCTTTTCTCTAGTGGAAACAGGAAGAGGTGGCTAACCTGTACCACTCCATGACAAAGCAAACAATCCAACTTTATAGATGGAAGGGGACAAGCAATACCAAAAGCAAGAGTTCAGCTGCACAAGAAACAATCTTAGCTATTCAGTAACTATATGTTACTCCTAGTCTCTATTTACTAACCATGAATAAAACTGGAGGACCTGAACATTTCATTCATACACAATCCAATGAGGCTATGTTCTGGGAAATTTCCCTGAATTTATAAACTGTAACTGGAGATAAAAATAGCAATGACCAAAACATTAATAAATCCCAGAGAACATTAGCAATGGAATACTAATAGATAGCAAGTACCATAGACAGATGCTATTATCTGTATGGTAAGAGTTAATCACAACCAAAGACTCCAGGAACCTGAGGCTAGAAAGGCTACTGGTTCTCAACCCTTAGAACACAGAGAATAAAATAGTGCACTTAAAATAGTGAATATTTAATAAATATATATTTACCAAATATTTGTCAAATCTATGTCTCTCTGTGTGTGTATGTATGTATGTGTGTATCTACTGGAGACTTAGTGAATCCTAATTTTCTGGTGTCATATTATGTATGTGTACTGTGAATGTGGTAGAGGTGAGGGTATGGGCTGGAGACTGGCCTGAAACTGTGATCCTTCCATCTCTACCTTCCAAGTTCCAACTAGCTGGAATTACAGGGGTAAGCCCCTATCAAGGCTATTGTGGGGCTCAGGTAGGCTACTTTCTACCCAGTCTCTCTGAATGGTAGGAGGAGCTAGGACCACTAAAAGTGATTAAGATCCATTCCTGTAACCACTTGAGAGAATGCTGTGTTATCAACATCTTTTCTCATAATACAAAGGTCTGAATATAGATGCCAGTACTGGGGCTTAAAATGCAAGGTCTTGAGCTCTTGCTTCAAATTTTTATTTTGCTCATACTTGGTGCTCTACCACTTGAGGCACACCTCCACTTCTGGCTTTTTTACTGGCTAATTGACGATGAAAGTCTCTCAGCTTTGTCTACCTGGGCTCGCTTCAAACCTCAATCCTCAGATCTCAGTTTCCAGAATAGCTAGGACTACAAGTGTTAGCCATTGGCACCTGGCCCTGATCACATTTTGAATATAACATTAACATTAGCATCTTACCAATTCCTTCTGATCCTGTCTCAATCCCCAAATAATAAGCATAAACATTTCTGAATTAAGACTCTGGTTACATCTATTATACCATCATTCATGAGTACTCATTCTACATATGTTTGACCATTTGGGCAAACATATGTTATCATGATTTTTTTCCCAACTGTAGTCACTGGAGAATGATAAACACGTAGGATAAAACATTGCTCTAAGATTTAATATGAAAAAGTTCCAAGATTTGTATGTCATCTCAATTGATATAAAGTGACAAATTCTAATTTTTCTTTTAGGAAAAATACTGGTAAACCACATATTCAAATACAAACTTTTTTTTATAGTTCTAGAAAGCAAAGTAAGAGGTATAAGAAACAAAATAAAGATACAAAATTGATAAAATGGAAAAAAATCCATAAAACCTCAAAGAAGATTCTTTTTTCTTTTGAGCAGATGAAGAAAAGGGGTAAGCTTCTAACAAAACTAAGAGAAGCCGGGCACTGGTGGCTCATGCCTGTAATCCTAGCTACTCAGGAGGCTGAGATCTGAGGATGGTGGTTCAAAGCCAGTGCAGGCAGGAAAGTCCCTAAGACTCTTATCTCCAATTAACCACTAGAAAACCGGAAGTAGTGCTGTGCCTCAAGTAGTAGAGCACTAGCCTTGAGCTGAAGAGCTGAGGGACAGGGCCCAGGCCCAGAGTTCAAGCCTCACAACCAAAAAAAAAAAAAAAAAAACAGGAAAATAGAAAATCATATTATCATTGTCAGTAATGATATTCTACAGCTCTTAAGAGAATAACAGTTGGATACCATAAACTATTTTGTATTCATAAATTCAACAACTTACATAAAACACAAATAACCAAAATATGTTCAAGAAGGATAACATGAATGAATGAATCTACTACATATCTATGAAAGAATCAGAATTTCTCCAGGTGTGGGGGCGCACACCTGTAATCCCAAACTCAAGAGGCTGAGTCAGGTGGTTCATGGCCAGCCTGGCTACACAATAAGATCAGACTACAGAGTGATTCATTGTCTTAAAAGAACAAAGGCTGAGAATGAAGATTACTGGTAGAGCACTGAGCCTTGGACATATCTCACAAGACATTTAGGAGCAAGATACCCATGGAGGAGTATGTCTCAACAGCAATAGACAAGAAAAAGAAAGAAAAGCCACTCACACTGAAAATAAAAAGTATGTACATTCACAAATGGCACCATCACTGTAGAAAGTGATGATCATAAAACCACTAGGTAAGTATAGAAATATGAGCAGGATGCAAGACCAATACACAAAAATCAGCTATATTTCTAACATCAGCAAGAAAAAATTCAAAGTTGAACTTGAAAAAAAAGTACCAATCAAAATATGAAATACAAGTACCTGACAAAAGACATACACTGAAAGCTATAACAAAATACTGTAAGAGATATTAAGACTTACATAAATTCAATACATATAATTTTACTTGTGTATGTATGCATATATGTGTATATGTATGCACAGGTATGCATACACATACAGATTTCTGGGATCAGAAGACTCCATATTATAAAGATGCCAGTTTTCCCCAAGATGATCAGTAAATTCAATGTAATCCCAATGAAAATCCCAGCAGACTTTGTGCAGGCACGGAAGTGATTCTAAAATCCATGCAAAATTGCACAGGTCCTAAAATCACTACAACTATTCCTAAAAAGAATGAAGTCAGAGGACTAGCACCATTGGCTTCAGGTCTTACTATAAAGTTAAAGTTATCAACTTTATGTGGTAGTGGCATAAAGACAGACCCCAGCAGCAGGATTTCAAGACTAAAAGCAGATCCATACTTCAGTGGACAACTGATTCATCCAAGGGAAAACTAAGTTCAGTAAGGAAACAATAGACTTTCCAACATATCACACTGGAACAAGTAGGTATCCTCTACAGATACAGAAAATTTTTTTAAAAAAATTTAACTTTGATCTATACATTGCTTCACACACAAACATTACTGTAAAACACGAGCTCAGAATGTAGGATATTTAAAAGATAACAAACATTCTGTATAACATTCTGTATAAACAGCATACAAAATAAAACAGCACTCAGCAAACAAAGGGAATAACTATTGAGACACGCAACAGAATTGATCAATATCAGAATAATTAAACTGAATGAAAGAAGGCAGACAGGAAAGAGTACAGTACACGACATGATTCCATCCAAATACAATTTTAGAAAATGCAAGCTACCCTATAGTGATAGAAGGCAGATGTCTTCTGGATAGATACAGTGTTTCTAAGGTGTACTAGGAAACTTCATGGATATACCTAGGACAAAAGTGATTAATTTACACTCCACTGCATTTACTTACAACTCAATAAATTGTTTTTAATACCCCAAAAAAATTATTTATCACTATATTCTAAGAAAAGTCCTTACACAGTACTGTATCACTGCTATGTAGCTTTAGTATAAATTAAGTTTTACAAAATCTCTCACATTTACATCACCAGCTGGCATTAGAGCTAATCCATTCTCTTCAGGTATGTATGTTCTTTATTGAAACAAATTCACAGCCCCGTCCACACATAGCCTCTAACTGAGTCATTCCCCACTTTCCCCTTGTAACAAAAGAATAGAGGCTTCCTCCTTTCAAGAAAGGAAAATGGTGACATACAGCGACAGGTTTCTGGGGTTCACACTCACCTGAGCTGGCTTGCTACAGATGACGCCATGAATCTCCAGGTAGCTGAAGGTTAGCTCGAGCTGTAATTGAAGGGAGAAGGGGAAACAGAAGCCCATAATGAACATTCAAAACATATAATACAAAGTTTAAAAAAAAAGCTGTAATTAGAAATAGTCTGAGGGCAAATAAGATTTGAAGGTAGGCTGGCTTAGTACTGCCATCCAAGGAGATAGGACTAAAATGGATCATATCTAAGAAGAAGTAGTACTCACTGTACTAGAGTATGAGAGAGGGAGGGAAGTGCATGCCTGACCTTGTAGATTCATCCAGGGACAAACGTAATTCAACAGGCTTTGTACCTGAAATCCACCATTTAAATTCTGAGGAAATGAGCTATCCAAATACACTTTTCCCCTTTTTACTGTTGCTTCCAAAGGTTTCATTTAAAAAAAAAAAACAGTCACTGTAGTTTGCCCCTTCCTCAGCTCTTACAGATTTGTGTAACATGCTGATGACCTACCTACCTATTAGAGTCATTCTTGCTCTAGGGCTTGTACAAAATTTCATGTTTAGCCCAATACAATATTGGAGAATTTGAAAATATGTTTAACTGACAGTGACAAGTACACAGTCAAATAAAACTCCACTTTCTCTGTATGTAACTAAATGATCAGTTCCGTTATTTATTTATGCACTTATTTATTTTTGCAGTGCTGGCAATCAAGTCAATGCTTTTCACATATACTCCACCACTGAGCTACGTCCTTAGGGCTACTTTCTATTTTACTAAATTTCCCTTCTTCTCTTTTGCTATAATCAGCAACTGCTTTTCCATCAAAATATCCTCCATGCTTCCTCCTTTGTCCATTTGCCTGATCAGTAGCCACCAATCTTTCTTTGTCTCACTTCAGCACAATCACAAAGCATGACACTAAAGAAAACTGGTGATTGGGTTGGATTGTTTTCCCTAAAAATATGCAGTTTGTCCCTTAGTATTCCTGAGGGATTCCAGAATGCCTTGGACTCCTTGGGATATTAATATCTGCGACTGTGCCAGGCCCTCAAATAGGGTGCAGTAGTTGTATATACACATCCTCCAGTGTAGTATAAGTCATTCTAGATTACTTGCATTGCTTAATACAATGTAAATGGTTACTTAGTATACTATGTAAGAGATAATGACCAGAAAAAGGTCCATGAAGAGGTCATTTTTCAAAATGGTTTCTCTTTCTGTTAACTGAGTTTTCAGGGGTAAAGCCTACCAAAACAGAAGGTCAATTGCAATGATTTAAAAAGAAAACAAGCGGGGCCAGGAATGTGGCTTAGTGGTAGAGTGCATCCCTAACATTCATGAAGCCCTGGGTTCAATTTCTCAGTACCACATAAACAGAAAAAGCTAGAAGTGGCACTGTGGCTCAAGTGGTAGAGTACTAGCCTTGAGCAAAAGAGCCCAGGCCCCGAGTTCAAGCCCCATGACTGGCAATAAAAAAATAACAAGAGCCAGGTGTTGGTGGCTCATGCCTATAATCCTCCCTAATCAGAAGACTGAGATTTGAGGATCCCAGTTGGAAGCCAACCCAGGAAGAAAAGTCCCCATGAAACTCTTATCTCCAATAAACTACTCAAAAAACGGAAGTGCTATGGCTTAAGAAGTAGAGCACTAGCCTTGAGCACAAAGAGGCTCAGGGACAGCACACAGGCCCTGAGTTCAAGCCTCACAACCAATAAAAACAGCCAAAAAATAAAAAAAAAGAACAAGAGCCAAAGCCACAAACGGACTTAATTCTGCACCCTTATTTATAGTGTATTGACATAAAAAAAAAAAGGAACAAAAAAATCTGCAGTTAGACCTTTAGAAACATGACAAGACTTTGGAAATGGAAAAAGAATCTGTTCTGGTATTTACTTAGTCAACTGGCAGACATTTGTGGGAAGCCTACTATGTACCAGAATGGGATACTGAAAGAGGAATGAGACATATATTTTGTCCTATGAGAGTTAAATGCAGCCTTGAAGGCACATATTTTAAAACATTCAATTAGTTTCCTTACCTATTATTACCAAGATCTATACTTGGCTTAGTTTTGAAAAATCATTTAAAGGAGGGAATCATTTTCTAAAAGTTAGACACACCTACTTTCATTATTTTCACTTTCAGCTCATAAAATGCATTCTCATTTGTCATTTTTTTTATAGCCCTAAAGTTTTTCTTTGAGTTGCGCTTGCTAATGGCCTTTCAGTGGCCTTTCTCTATGAGCCAACCCACAGTCCAGGGCTCCTAGACCCCAATTCAAGTCTCTTTAGATATGGACTGAGAATGCAAAGGCACTCGCTAGGCAAGCTGGGGGCAAAAGTTTTTCCAGGTCATTATGTTCCTCACCCTTTCCTCAAATTTTAATCATCATATAATGCTAAAAGGGAACAACTTTTTCTAAATAATTTACTTATTTCAATATTCAATGTTTCATAGACACGTCTTATTGTATACATATCATTTCTATGTGCAATGTCTTTCACTTAAAAAATGACATTGTGATCATAACTACTGTAAATGAGTCTGGAAATAAAATAAATCATTGCTGCTCAGAGAGGGCAACTCATTAACAGATAGAAGCAGGTTCAATCAGGTACATTTTCTTTGTTTGTTTGCTTTTGCAGGTGCTGGGGCTTGAACTCTGGGCCTAAACGCTGTCCTTGAGTTCCTTTTGCTCAAGGATAGCACTCTACCACTTGAGCCACAGTGCCACTTCCAACCAGGTACATTTTCTTATAGCTGGCAATCATAAATACACAGCTGGCATCAGTCAGTATCATCAGGGATAAAAATGGACACACCTAGTTGATTTAGCTTGTTGAAGTTAGTTGGAAGTCAATTAAAATGCTTCCACTGAGTCAAGTATGTTAGCACAAGCCTATAATCCCAACACTTGGTAGGCTGAGGCAGGAATATCATGAGTTGAGGCCACTGGGCTACAAATGAATCCCTGTCTCAAAAGAAAAAAAAAATTAAATAGCTTCTTATCCTGTACAAAGGGTCTTCACTAGAGACCCAGGAAAGACTGGTAACATTTCAGTAGGCCATGAAAAAAGACTTGAAGAATAACTTCAAGTTTTATAAGCAAGCAGGGCTAAAGAATTCGCAACTGCATAAAACACTAAAAGAGCCAAGACAAAACGGAAAGTGAAAAAATAGAACCTGTAGGTTCAGCAATCAATAAGCAATGACTGGCTCCTTCGGTGATTAGTCAGGGTTCTGGGTTTTTATTAGCAGTGCGAAGGGCCGTCCCTAAGACACCCTGAAAGGCATGGCAGCAAGGCTCAGGTGATTCTCCCATCTTCACCCCTCAGGCCTTGGCTCCCAGTCCTTGATACCAGTCCACCCCGAGACAGTCTGAAGAACACGGTTAGGTTAGATTTATAGACAAAAGCAGACAAGAGGACTAGTTAGGAAGCTGACAGAGGTGCAAATAGCATGAAGAAGAACTGAGGACATTTTAAGCTCAGAACTAAAGATACTATTGATTGATTAGGTAACAGGAAGGAATTAGCTAGATTGCTTTTCCAGTCTCATATCAACCTACTCCAACCTGTAGCAAGCCAGTAACCATCCCCTCCAGCTGCAGAGCAATTCTAAAAGTCTTCACATAGGTGCCTATAGCAACTTCACTATTTCACAGGCAGTAGTTCATGCTGCAACTCCCCATTTGGGGCTAGGTCCTGCCTACCTTCCCAAGCTTCTCCCTCTCACCACAGCTTCCTCCACCGCCCTCGGCCTACATGCCAGCTTCCCAGATGCGTGGTGCTCTTTCACACTGCTAAACCTTTGCCTAGTTTATCTGAAGTGATCCTTTAATCTAGATTGTCTACAAACCCTCCCTTGATCTGTTCACTACCCCCACCCCAACGCACAGTTAGGGTCTTTGGGTGGTGGCAAGGCTCTGTTCTTCATCTGGCTGTGCCTACAGGGCTATTCCTTTTGTGAGTAATTACTGAGATGTGCATCCGTGTCTTACACATTGTTATGCATGTGGGATCACCTCCTAGCTACACTAAAATATAAAAGAGAACATGCCCCACTTTTCATAGAACTTTAAACCAAAGAAAAACACATTGTATTAATCAATGCCCATAAAAAAGAGAAGCTACTTATATGATGATCCGTGCCTATTTTATATTAATACTCTTGAGTGTAATCATTTGCCCAGAGAGTTCATATGACTGGCACTGGTTTTACACCCCAGCCAAGCCTTACCCTGATACATGCAAACCAGCTTTCTCTAAGGGGCAAACCTGGAGGCAGATCACTCTGAATCAAAATCTACATTTCTTATTCATGATCCTGACACTGAAAAATCAGAAGTAATGTTGAACCTTCTCTAGCCAGTTCAAAACTGAGTCTCTCCTCAGGGATAGATCAAAAGGAAAAGATGAGATCCCCTCACAGGAAGGGCAGGTGACATGTCAACTCTTCTGCAATGGAGCACTTCACAGGAGGGATAGTGCTGGCTTACTTCATCTCCTTACATACTACACCACTCTCAGGTATTTTAATAGCTAGATATTTGAACCAACTTCAGTGTCATTATAATAGACTTTATTCATAACATATTATATAGATTTATTTTATATTATCAAAAGGGCAGGATACTGGTGGCTCATGTCTATAATCCTAGCTACTCCAAAGACTAAGATCTGAGGATCACAGACAGAAAAGTCTGTGAGACTCTTATCTCCAATTAATTACCCCCAAAAAAGCCAGAATTGTGTGGCTAAAATGATAGAGTGCTAACCTTGAGTTCAAACTAAAGGACAATACCCAAGTCCTGAGTTCAAGCCCCAGTACAAGCAAAGAGAAAGAAAGAGAGAAAAAGAGAGAGAAAAAACACTTGGAACCAAAAAAAAATGTTCATTGGAGAACTTTTTAAGAATTAAAATATGTAGTAAAGGTGGAAAGGGAAAGAGGGAGAAAAATGAGGGAGGAGATAATAAGTTAGACAATAAATGTACTCACTACCTTACTTATGTAGCTGTAACCCCTCTATACATCACCTTGACAATAAAATTAAAGAAAACAATTTTTCAATAGTTAGAAAAAAGAAAAACTGTGTAGTAAGGCTCACAGAAGTCATGATAAAAATCTCTATTTCTTAAATATGTAGTAGGTGAGGCAGTTCAACTCAGCAAAAAGTGGAAAGAGTAGGACTGGGTGAATCTGATATTTTTCTCTCATTTGTTACTTGTGAATTTTTATGCATGTCAACTTACCACTCATGGCTTCTGCAAGAACAAAGAAATGATGTGCTTTGAAAATTCTTATAGGCAATTCATTAAGTTCAGGTAATAACACTGTAGTTAAACCAGACCTTTACTGTCAAACTCTTCAACAATTAGAATCATCCACATATCCTAATAGTGGAAGTATAACCATAGGCAAGTTACTGAACTTCCCCCTGCCTCAGTTCGCTCATCTGTACAATGGGGATGATAATAGAGTCCATATTATGGTTTTCAGAAGATTCTTTTAAAGATTAAATTGCTTACTAATTGCTATTAAATAATTCTCAATAAATTTTATTTATCAATCATATCTTTAGGGGGAAAAAAATCTCTGTATCCTGTTCCATTTTGTCAATATAAAAATGACCACTCTCTTCTGGCTACTGTAAACAAAGGGGAGCCATAATTATGCCTCTTTCAGAAACTATGAACTCAGACCACTTGAAATAAAAGGCAAGTCATGAAAATTGCTAAATAGACCTTTGCAGAACAGAACAATTGCCATGTTCTTTTTCATAGACAACTCAGGGGACAGGAAGAAGGGGCTGCTGTAGCCACCGTTCTGTAGTGCATTCTTCAGTACTATGAAAGTTATTTCCTACATGTCAAAACCTGAGAAGAATCTGCCATTGAGTGGAACTGAAGGAAACAGTTGATTTTAAACAATGCAAACCAAGCCCCAGAAGAGGAAGACAGGCAACTGGGAGGTACTGCCTCGTGGACCAAAAACACAAAATGTTCCATCACTTTTCTTGGAAAGCCTTTACACAAAGAAAGGGCAAAAGCAGTTTAAAAAAATGTCATCATAACCTTTAGAAGCTTTGTGGAAAGGAAGAAAAGGCAAGTGGACTTAGAGAACTCTGACCTAAATCATTAAGTCGACAAACTGAAGTATGAATATGTATTATAAGCATTTGTGTGTGTGTATGATGCAAGTACGCATGCATGTGTGATGTGTGTGTTGAGTCTGTGTTAGCATGTTATGTGCATGTATTTCAATGTGCACTACTGAGTGTCCGTATGCATGAGTGCATGTGTATGTAGGTATGAGCCTGAGTGTATGTGGGGAGTGTGTGTCTGTGTGTCTGTGAGAGAGAGGGAGAGAGGGAGACACAGGGGGGGTGGGGAGATAATACCTTCACTACTTACCTTAGTAGGGATTCGAGCTGTAACAAGGAAGGCTCGGCATGATGTAAGCACCTGTAAGAGAAAAGCAGCAGCAGCACAATCAGTACCAAAAATGAGCCTTGCTGGTAAGGATTTGAATGATACTGAAGCCTCAGAAGCCTCGATCTCATTGTTGTGCCTGGGTCTTGATTCAGTATCACAATATGGCTTGACTCCTGCTGTGGAAGAAAAATAAGTGACCTAGGATGGCATCTTGGCTCTTTATCATGATCCATATTGAACAAATCACACATGAAATCTCAAAGAGAGAGACAGCACCTATGATAGTAAAATAGTTATCTTCTGTATATAAACAAGCCTCACTCCACTCACTACATCAATGGCAAACTTCACCAAAAAAAAAAAAAGCTTAATTCTTGGTCAACCTTTACATTCTCAGGACTTCAGCTGACAACACTTGCTGCAAGGCAGCAAAATCAGCCTCCACACCCAAGAGATCTTTTCTATCTTTGCTTCTCAGCTGTGTCTAAAGAACATTTGTGGAAGTTTCCTTTCTGATACTCAGCTAGTAACATTTAGGTACCATAAGGTATGACATGCAGAGAGATACTCTTTACCCTCCACAGTCCTCTGTGAATACAAAGAAGCTGACTTAGGAGTTCTGACATTAAGCAGGGATTACACATCTACCTCCTCACTGTCCAAAACTGACTCACTAACATCAGCTGACAGCTGATGAACTTGTATGATTGATTGATTGATTGATGATTATTTTGATACTGTAGTCAGTCAGGGCTTTGCAGTGGCTAGGCAAGTGCTTTACCAACTGAGACATATCTTCACTCCTTTCCACTTTCATTATTTTTTAAATCAGATCTCACTTTTTACCCAGGAGCAGTCTCAAACCACGGTCCACCTACTCATTCCTCCATTGTAACTGGGATAATAGTTGCTCACCATCATATTCAATTTGTTTGTTGAAATGTGTGGTCTCTTTTCCTAAGTCTGGCCTTGGACTATTATCCTCTGTATCTTCATCTTTCTAGCAGCCAGAATTACAGGTGTTACTCACTGAACCCAGTATACTGATTAGCTTTTGAAGTAAAGTTTCAAAGGGAGGGGCTGGGAAGGTGGCTCAGTGGTAGAGGGCTTGCCTTCTATGCACGAGGCCCTAGTTTCGATTCCTCAGCACCACATAGGCTGAAAAAGCCAGAAGTGGCAGAGCCCAGACCCAGAGTTCAAGCCCACGACTGCAAAAAAAAAAAAAGTTTCAAAGGGAGACACTGAAGCATTTCAAGTCCTGATAGGACTATTGTCTTTACCCATCTTCCAAAGAACTTCCTTTTCATTGAATCCCTACATAGCAGATGACACTTCCTACTAGTCTCAAAATGAAAGACTTGAACAAAACCTTAGAAATTTTCAGGCCAAAGACATTTAGGCCCAAAACTTGAGAGAGAGAGAGAGAGAGAGAGAGAGAGAGAGAGAGAGAGAGAGAGAGAGAGAGAGAGATTTTCTAGGTCTTACTGCTCAATCCAGGGCTTGAACTGCTAATATAAAACCAGCAAGTGAATTAACAGGTATGCTTTGGTGAGCTGGCTTCGTCCCTCACTCTACAATCTCCAAAACCAGACAGAAACTTGAAATGTTTTTTTTTGTTTATGTCTGTCTGTCTACCACTACCTCATCTTTGAATACATTGGTGCCCTCTATAGGAGAAAACTCAATTCAAGCCAACTTAAGATACAGATAACAAAGGCATGCTTGGGTATGAAAGGAAATATATCATTTTTTTTCTCCTAACAAAAGGGAGTCATTCCAAGAAGGTATCCCTGGCTCTTCCCTATCTCTCTATTTCCTGGCTACCACGAGGTAAGCAGCTCTGCTCCACTACTTCCTGTCCACCATGATGTTCTGCCTCACCACAGGCCACTACTTCCTGTCCACCATGATGTTCTGCCTCACCAAAGGCCCCAGCAATGGGGTCAAGTAACCATGAGCCACTATAATTTTTTTCCTTGTAAGTTGCTCTTCTCAAACTAATAGAAAAGCTAACGCAATAGGCAAAGATATAGACTTCTCACAACAATTATGTATGATACCAACTGAGACTCCATGATGACAGTCCCTCAAGGTCATACAATAGCTCTGTCAACTCCAAACCCTGTGTGCTTAACTACTAGTCTACATTTCCATATTATGACTCAATTCTATCTCCATATGCTCCCTGCCTTAGTGCAGAAGCTAAAGACTCATTGTAGGAAAGGATATCACCTAGTACAGTATAGGACTTTGGGTGACTTACAAAGCTCTCAGCTCAATGGGTAACTTCCTCAACATTCCAAGAATTAGTTTTTCTAAATTCTCTTCATATATAAATATACTTGAAAGCTGGACTCTCTTATCATCTGTACTAGCCAACACTTGGCAATGGTAACACTACTCAGGAAATTAAGAGTCTGGCCCCTTCTTTGAAGGGGCAAGAAAAATGTGTTACATGAGCCACACAGGACCCTAAGCAGGGTCCAACAGTAGAGGCATGACAGTAATAAAGAGGAATTTGGAGAAGGAGATAAAAAGGAGCCAGAGACAGGCATGGGCAATGTTGTCATTTGCTTAGGCCCAAAAAACAGGTCACCAATGACTTCATTACAAGATCAGAACTCATCTTAAAGGATGAAATTGCTGGCTTCCCAGAACTATGCTCCAAAGCTCACTAAGAGTTTTCTATTTCAGTCTGCCCCAGGGATCTATGACTCTCTTTCAATCACTGCCTCTCTCCCAGGGAAACAGGAGAAGAAAAGAGAAAACGTTGACAGCCACAATCGCAGGCAAGGTAACTAGATTCTTACCCACTCTCACTACTCCCCCTCCTCATTCACAAAGCAGCACCCACACTTCTCTCGTCCAGGATTAACTCTCTACGCACTCCCAATCCTTTACAAGAACTTAAGTCCACAAACTTCTACAGAGCCAAATCATAAAGCTCACATGCCAGAAAGGTCTTAATAGCACTTGGTCAAAGACCCAAAACCCCCACATTTATTATAATCTGAGAGCAGGTCCAGAAAAACTTCATCTCATGGCAGCTAGTGGCAGAGCCAGAACTAGAAGGTGCAAGCTCTTACTCCCAGTCCATCTTCCTCTCTCTCACCTCAGTGAGGGTCAAGGCCAAAGGCTCCAGATAGGAACATATAAACTCTTCAGCATTCAGAAAAATTTCTTTAGCTCTGAGAACATTCCTTCAAAGGAGAATTGCTCCACAACATTCAGAATCATTTCCAAGCCAATTCCTGTCCCATACACTTTTAATAGGTTTGCATGAGTTACCTCATTTATTTCTCATACAAACTGTGGGGTACTATCATCACCCTCATTTTAGGATGAAGATTATATAACCTGTGCAGGTCACTCAGTAAGCATGTGACAGAACAGGAGTTCTATCCAACAGAGTCTGGCTCCAGAGATAGTATTCCCAGTTATGTACACTGGCTCTTAAATCTCTCCTTGCCAAGGGCCAGATTCCTCAGTACTTCTACTCTTACAAACATGGATCCAGCAAAGAACTTGAAAGTCAGAAGGAAGCAATCAGAAATAAGATCATCACAGGATGAGGAATGCTTGGGGACCATAAGGAAAAGGTTAATCTGTCTGTCTATCTTCCTCTTTTTCCTATCATCCACTGGTTTAGGTAACTGTCTCTGTGTGTTTCTGTCTTTGTTTTGTATTTATCTACCCGAGTCTATGTATATCTCTGAGTCGGTGTGTTTCCACACAGGTTCCTCATCCTCCCCCCCAGACCATTTCTCTTTAATAGAAAAGCCACTCTTTCTACCAAGTCCCCTTCAACATGCTCAGTCTCCTTTCTTCTCCTGTCTTCCATGTCCTTTTTTCTATAGGAATCACTAGAGAGCTAGGATTTCATTTATAGAAGTGCAAGAAACACCACACGCTAGCCACAGAAGAAATCCTTCTGGATGATCATCTCATCTGTAATACAGTCACACAGTCATGAACAAAACATGAACTAAAACTGACAAGGCACCTTTTGACATCATTATACAATGGAGCACATGAGTAATTAAGTGATTACACAGTCCCTGGAGTGAATCAAATTAATACATCTCAAAAACAAATCTCAAATCATGTACCCAAATAATGGAAATGGCGCATCCATCACCGGCATAAAACACAGGCTGGCCTTTCCATCTCTTGACAGTAGTGGAACTTGAGGCGTTAACATCCCCCTCAACCAACCAGGAACATCAGAGGACATGCCTGCCTTCTCCTGACCTGCCCTCTCCACAAGCATCACCACAGATAGCTTCTAGGGGGCTGCTGACAGAGCACTAACTGGGATCTATACATTTAAAACAAGAGGAAGAAAAAGGAAAAACTGTTTACACAGATTCTCTTTGGAGAAAAGACCAATGTCTCTACAATAGGCAAATGTGTGAATTTCTAATGATCATGTCTGTCTCATTGTGGTGCAATAACAGTGCTCACAATCTATAGCTTGTATGTCCTGTTATATGTATGCAAAATCCTTCAGAGGCTGGACATTGTCCAAAATAATTTCTTTGAAAAGAGACACTGGTGAGGGATTCTCAGCTTAGAAAGAAGACAGATAAGCCACAAATGCTTTGTGCTTGCTGATCCCCATTTCTGAAAGCCAGCTAGAAGTCCTAAGGGCATATGGGGGTTCTTAGAAAATGTGTAACATGAGAACAGTGAAAGAGGGCAAATCTTCCAAAGTTGACCCACCTGTTCCCAAGAGTGGCCCCAAGCCACTATGTAACAAACAGTATAGCAATGCTTGGATATGAGGTGAAACATGTTGTTGATCCTAGCAAAATTTTGACTCTTGCTTTATCAGTGCAAACTGAAGCAATTAATGTGGGAATAATTATACTAGAAGAACCCATCAACTCAGTCTCCCACCAACCTGAATGATTCCAAAACTACCCTAGGATTTATAGCCTTGACCAAGTGTGGAGTCCAGCAGGATGGGGGAAAATCCACAGGAAACTTCAACTCTTCTTGTCTGCCCAAGCAATTTCTAACCATGATAC